TAATTTAGATAGATAATGGTCTATTAAAAATAGTTTTGTTTAAAAAGTTCTTCTAATATTACAGTATAAGCACATAACATGGCCTCAGCTGGCTAGTGACAAAAGTCCCTGCACCATTTATAAGAATCAAATCATGTAGGGAGATAACTCCACAGCAATCAGAACTTTTTAAAAGCAAAATCCCAAATGACACAGTAACAAGCCTAGCATAAAGTCACAGCTGCTGATTACCCCTACTACCTCCAATAGAGATAAGAAGCCCCTTCTCACTCAGCTAGTACTTACTTTTTTTTTTTTTTAAGAATAACTGGGGGCCCTGAAACAACCCCTCAAGGGGAGAAAACTACCAAATTGAGAATAATATCACAGGTAGCCAGAAGGTAGAATACACCAAATAAGGGTATTATGCCCTAGAATCAGTAGGGTCTTCCTTTGAAAAGAAATCTTAAGTGCTTGAGGAACACAGGCTTGGAAGATGCCCAAAGAAAGTTGAACCTTCCTTGGTCAAAGCATATACCCTGTTTCCCCGAAAATAAGACAGTGTCTTATATTAATTTTTTCTCCCAAAGTTGCGCTAGGTCTTATTTTCAGGGGATGTCTTATCTTTCCATGAGCGAGGTCTTATTTTCGGGGAAACACGGTACGCTGAGAAGTCTCCTTAATTGACATTAAGTAGTTTTATTAAATGAACATTTTTACCTCATAACTTATAGTTAAAACATTTTGAGAATGGAAAGGCCCAAGCTGTCCTATAAAAGCACATTGATTTGGGGGGAAGAGATTCAAGCCAAGTACAGCAGCCCCAATTTCCAGGAAATTCAAAAACATGTGTACACAACACATCATCTAAATTTCAAGTTCCCTCCGTAAGGAATACACAAGAAACCCCAATACAGTACATTGTACTTTGTAAGCACTCAAAATTTTTTGACTGGACTGAAACAAAAACTGTCACCAAGTATGTATTTACATTTATGTTAAGTTTCTCCCCTATCCTCCACACTTCATTTTGTTGTTGTTACACATATCAGCTCCCACGTGCTAGGGGCCTGAACACCAAACCTGGGAAAGGAAAATAAAGACTTATCATACCTGCTGTGTTTCTATTTATTTCTGTTAAGGACATTATCCTTAAGGTGAACAAAGCTATCTGAAAGGCCACTGTCACTTTAAGAAAGAAAAGTAAAAATTAATAGCCATCTAGTATGTGACTAGTAAATTCACATAATTCATCTCATTTTAGCTACTCAATAATCCTGTGGAATAGGTAATAATACCCAATGTTTATATAAGTAAAAACTGAGGTTCAGAAAAGTTGTGTCTAAGGTGTGGTGACCAGACGTCCCGCTTTCGGCGGGACAGTCCCGATTTTGAACAATTTGTCCCGCGTCCCGCAGCGTTTTAAAAAAGTCCCGATTTTTGGAAAAAATGCAGGACAAGCTAGGAATCGGTGGGAGAACGGGAAGGGAATATACGGTTTTCAGCGGCCATGTGGCTATTTAGCCAGGACATAAGTTTTATATTATTTTATATTATTTTATATTATTTTTATATTAAGGTGATACATAAAGTTTAACATAAAGTTTAACATAAATTATGTTAAACATAAAGTTTAACATAATGCTATCATGTTAAACTTTAAGAATAACAAATAATTGTTGAGAACTGATTATCAAGAACTGCTCATCAAAGTTCACATTGTTGATCAGTTGTTAGAATTCGACCACCATTGTTTGGACTTAATGAACAATGGCATTTTTTGGGATTGGCAACGACGAAAACATTTTGTAACTGCCTCTCAGACAGTACACATCGTACTGCATGCTAGTAAGCTAGTTAAACAAGTGATGTCATTACAAATCAGCTATTCAGATAATTTAGGTAAGTAATTTATTTATTTATTTCATAAATACATAAATTTTCTTGAATTTAGCAGACAATACTCGTACTATTTATATTTTATAGTGGCGGCAAAAAGTCTAGCGCCGGCCTTGAAAGTGACACTTATGACTTACGTTACAGCAAATTCAGAGGAAAAATAATATGTTATTATTATTATTTATAAAGGAATATAGGATTAAAATTAAAGTAATTTTTAAAATAGTTACTTTTTAACAAATTAAGTTAATTTATAAACTAACAATAAAATATGTTCATGTAATTATGTACCTACTTACTGTGTTTTTAAGCAATATATCTATAATAATTTATAATATAATTTTAAATTATTTTTTTTTAGATTTTTAACATAATGAGTAAGAAAAGAGGATGCAAATTTAATGATGATCTAAGAAGTGAATTCCTTTTTTAAAAAAAACAAAAGCCATTACATGGTAAAATGTGAGAAATATAATAGTGAATTTTCTATTTCGCACGGCGGGAAGAATGATATTTCAAAGCACTTGGAGACACAGAAACATAAGAGATATTTAAGTACTGCTGCATCTTCCTCCAAAATATAAGAATTTTTTCGGGAAACAATTTACGGTAAGGTGACCAGACGTCCTGCTTTTGGTGGGACAGTCCCGATTCTTAACAATTTGTCCAGCGGCATTTTAAAAAAGTCGTGTGTCGTCTTTGTGTGTCCCCTGTCGTCGTCGTCCTGCCCCACCTCCCCCGGTCAATGGTACCCGGCTTTACCAATGTTAACATCTGGTCACCTTAGTCTAAGGTCACCTCTTAGCAACAGAGTTCATACCCTTTTTTCTTCTCAACATTTATGTAATTTTGAGAGGTGTTATTAAAAAAAAACAAAAAAAAAAACGTAAAACAAACAAACCCTACAACCAAAAATGTAGGCTAACCTATGAAAAAGTACATTGAAAGTGCTGAGTTTATTATCCATCACAAATTCTTTTAAAGCATAAACCACTTCAGGATACTGTATTTCCCTATCTTTGCCCAAAGAGAACTGACAGTCTAGTTTGGAGGAATAAGCCATTGGATAAGTTGTTTTTTTTTTGTTTGTTTTTTTTTTAATGAAAGAGGCAAAAGGTATTGGAAAGGACAAGAGTTTTTAGATTCATCTACCCAGATATGAATTGCAGTGCTTACTATCTGTGAATTGACAATATGCTTCTATCTCCTCAACTGTAGAAGCTATGATAAGAAAAACAAAAAACAAAAAAACCCTGCTACTTCTAAAGGGACTCGCAAAGCTTACATGAGACAACATATGCAAAGTTAGGGGACCAACTTTCCCCTATGAGTGGTGTGCCCCAAGTATCAATGAGTGGAAATATCAATAAATGCTAAACAAAGATTTAAAAAATTTGATATATTACAAAAAATTTCCAACACAAAAATCCCAATCCTTACACTTGAAAACTAAACTATGGAGTCAGCCAAGTCATTAGCTAATTAGGTTTATCATTTATAAGAGCATCAGAGTTAATTGAACATAAAGGGATTACACTTGAAGTCTGAATAAGTAGTAATAAACCCATGATGTCTTAGTTTTGACAAATGTGTCACTTTCCTACAAACAAAAATATTCCAACATAAAAAATAAATGACAAGGGAAAGAAATGACAACATTCACAGAAACTCTTAAGTATTGTATTGCCACTTGATTTAGACTGTCCTGAAGGCAGCCATTAACAGTAAAGGCTGTGGAATCAGACAAGGTGCAACACCCTTGCAAGCTATTCTAAAGCACAACTACAAGGAGCAGCTGGAATTTAATATTCCTACTTTTTTAAAGAAAAGCGACTTTGGTGCACTTTTGCGTAGCATATTCTTGCAAAATACCGGTTCTCTGGCAATTAAATTTTGTTATTGCTGTTACAAAACAAGCAAATTTCTTAACAGTTACTTCTGCCTTGCTATTTCTGACTCAGACATTTATTTATTCAATAAACACATACGAAGCATCTCTCACCACATACAAAGGTATAATAAGACTTTGAAAGTCTAATGATAAGTGGCATTTCTGAGCTTAGTGCTAAAGGCAGGCATGTTTCCCGTTTCCCACAGGCAGGCCATCTGATTCCCTTACTTTTTTATACAAAACTCAAAGAAGAGTTAATAAAGTGTTGTAAAAGTTATTAGGGCATTTTTATTCCCTGGGTCAAATGAGGGCTATTACTGACAATTTTTTTAAAGTACATTTACATTAATTAAGAGTCTCATTAAGTGATTGTGAACTTTACTATAGCTGTGTGCTCAAGATGGCTGAAGCTTTCATACTTTGGGGTCTACAAAAAAAAAAAAAAAAAAAAAAAAAAAGGTTTACTTGCATACGAGGAGGCGAATTCCATGCTATAAACTGGTTTAAGACAGCACCAATTTCAAAGTGTACAAAGTACGCACATATACACGCAGCGTTACTGCTTAAATCTGTTGAGTAATTCCTTAACCCCTTCTTAATACATATGTAGAATTCAGAGGGCAATTTTCAAATTTCAAAGAAACCTTAATAATCTTTGCAGATTCTAGAGTCGGTAATAAATAAATAAATAAACAAACACACACAGCAATGCAGCAAAGTCATTTCTCCTGCTAAAATGACCTCCAGCTTCTATGAGCTACTCCAGGTTTCGCAATAAATGAATCTGAGACTCAAACCAAGTACACAAACGCAATCGGAGCCGAGTCCAACTTCCCCCAGCACAACAGTCCTGGCAAAACCCACCTGCCAGTTCCCCAGCCCTGCCAGTTCCCCATTTTGTCCGCGGCGCACGCACACACACAGTTACCTTAGCCAGAATCCTGTTTTATCATCCTTTGCAGCCACCAGCTCGAGGAATCAGAGCGCTTACTAACTAACCTGATTTCAGGCAGTCAGGACTAAACCCAGGGGAGCAGAGGGGCATAAATCAGAGGTCTCTGGAACGCCAGCCCAAGCTCAGACGTCAAAGGAACCAAAAGGCTTTTTCGCAAAACAGCCTCTCCAATGAGCATTTCCACCCCCAAACCGCCCCCCTCCACCCCCCACGAGCGCCGGCGCCCGCACACAGTCCGCCGGAGCAGCCCGGGAGCTGGGAAGCGGCGTGCCTTACCTTGCACATATCTCGACATGGCAGGGCTTTTCTTTAGAACACGCCGGGCTATCTACCACTGTCTATGTTAACGCCTAGAGGAGTCCCTCCACCAGGTAGTGATTTCCTGCTCCCCTGCTCTAACCACCGACGTGTTCTTTCTCCTCTTCCTAGGCTTAGCCACTTCAGGGAATATTTAGTCAAGGCGATTGAAAACTGCCTCCAAAAAGAAAGAAAGAAAGAAAAAAGGGAAATCTCCTCCACTTCCAAAGGCAGAAACTTGGTGCGACGGAGTCAGCTGGTAACTCTTTGCGCCTGACACCGCCGAGGGCCAGCGGAGACTCCCAGGAAAGGTAAAACCGCACGAAGTTAAATTTCATCAATGAAAGAGGCGGACCCAGCGCGGCTGTGTCACCGCCCCCGGGTCCCCACGCCTCCGGGGCCGGGCGACAGCGGGCCGGGCCCCCGCACCCCGGCTCCCTCCCCTCCCCTCCCCTCCCGCCGCCCAGCCTCCGGCCGGTCCTCCGCCAACCCCCCCAGCGGGGATGGGGACGGGGGTGGCAGAGGCGAGGGTGGAGCAACCATTTTTCCCCAGCCCCCAAACTTAAGGTGACCAGATGTCCCGCTTTCGGCGGGACCGTCCCGATTTCTAACCATTTGTCCCTCGTCCTGCGGAGTTTTTAAAAAAAAAAGTCCCGATTTTTGGAAAGATATTTGGAAAGAATGCACAAGCTAGGGAACGGGCGGGAGAACAGGAAGGGAATGTACGCTTTTCCTCGGCCATGTGGCTATTTAGCCAGGATATGAGTTTTATGTTATTTTTGTTCATGTTATCATGTTAAACTTTAACAGTAACAAGTCATTGTTGAGCACTGATGATCGAGAAACTGCTCATCAAAGTGGGCATTCGCTGATCAGCTGTTAGAATTCGACCACCACTGTGTGGACTCAATGGACAATGGCATGTTTTGGGGATGGGCAACGAAGACCAAAACATTTTGTGACTGCGTGCCAGTAAGCTAGTTAAACGAGTGACGTCATTACAAGTCAGCTATTCAGATAATGTAGGTAATTGATATTTATTTCATAAATCCGTAAATTTCCTTGAAGTTAGCAGACAGACCTCGTATCATTTATTATTTCAGTGGCGGCAAAAAGTCTAGCGCCAGCCTTGAAAGTGACATTTACGACTATACATAATTTTATTTATTATATTTGTAAATTGTACTTGTGTTAAAATTTTAAAAAAATATATATAGATATATATAATTACAATACTATTTTTGCGTTCTATGAAAATTTTCGTTGCTTCATAGAGACCAAATTTTTAATCGAGACCCTCCCCTCCTTCTCCCCTCCCCTACGCCCCCCCCCCCCCCCATGGTGTCCCGCTTTACCAATGTTAAAATCTGGTCACCTTACCAAACCATCCCGGGACCAGGAGGAGCTAAGAACTCCCCTGGGGCGGGCCGGCCTGCAGCCCCCGCCTCCCCGGGCGCCGCCGCACGTCCGCGGGAGGAGGGGCCGGAGCCGCATCGCCCCGCCCCCGTCCCCCCCCCCCCTGGGCCGCACGGGGGGGGCCGCCCGCGAGGGGAGAGCCCGCGCCGCCGAGCCCGGCGGACAGCAGCCGGGAAGGCCCCGTCCTCCGCGCTCACAGCCGGCCCCTCCGGCCCAGCGCGCTTCCGAACCCCACCTTCGGCCTCTGGAGGCGGGGGAGGGGTGGGGAGGCGGAGGAGGCCACAGCTGGTAAAGGAGAGAGACTCTCCCCACCTCCGAGGGGAACACACCCTCCTCCGGGCTGGTGGGACGTCCGTCCCCGCCCCTCCCGCCCCGCCGCCGCCGCCGAGACCCACCTTCCTCCTCTTCCTCCGGCGGCTGGGAAGTTGGGGGCCGCTTATGGCGCGCCGGGGAGAAGGCTCGCAGGCTGAGGATGTCACCCTTCTCCTTCTCTCTCTCCCCCCTCACACACGCACAGCGGGAACCCCTCGCCAGCGGCGGCAGCCCCACGGCCGGCGCCCTCCGCCCACCGGCTGCCGGCTCCGGAGACCTGAAAGCCCCCACTTTCGCCTGAATCACTCCCCTCCCCCTCCGCGGGGAGCAGCCCCCTCAATGCGGAAACGCTCCTGCCGCACGGACGGACAGCGGCAGCCGCCAGTCAGGAACGGAGGCGGTGCCAGGCCCGGCCAATGAGAGGTGCCGAGGTGGCAGGGGGCGGGGCGTCTGCGGCTCCGAGGAAGCCCGGCCGGTGTGGGCGCGGAGCCGGAGGAGGGGATTCCGCGCGTGGTGGGTTCCCGCACTTGAGGCGGCGCAGGCGGCAGGGATGTCTCGCCAGTAAAATACCCAGCTTTCTACAGACAGCGTCAGCCAGGGAGTGGTGGTTTTGCAGTCCGTACATAGGTTGCCGCTTACCAGAGGTGGACGAGTTAGATGCCTATCCGGCGACTAGAGAGGCAGAGCACTCCACAGCAAAGGCCCCTAAGAGCCCAGGCCCCTCTCACGAACTCCGCTCACACTATGGGGTCTGGGAAGGGTGAGAGTGCCTTCAGGGGTGAGCAGTGGGATGTATTGGGGCCCACTCACAGGAGGAGGGATTTAAAACGTGGAAGGAAGTGCCCAAGGAAGGCTCTCCCCTCCCCACCTCCCCCAGAACCACCACGTCCGGTTCCTATTCCTGTAGAGATTTCTGCTATGATAGGCGTTTCCTTTTCCGATCAAAATGGAAATGGCTTAAGTAACCCTCCAAGAGATGCTGACGTGGCAATATATCTTCTCCAAGTCCTCCAAGAGAGAGGATGTGAAAAGACAGAAGGTTGGCAGTGGCCGGGGTGTGCAAGAGGGCCGCCCAGCACTGGACAACCGGCCTTACTTGTAAGACTCAGTGCACCAGCCCCTGGGTGCATCTTAGATTTTATACTTCATGGCTCAATTTAACCCACATCGGGACAGATGAATTGTCAGCACTCTCTTAGGTGCCTTCAGTAAACCAGGTGATTCTTAGAAGAGTTTGGACAACATTAATCAACAAAGGTAAAGTGAGAATTTCTAAATTGACAATTCTCTAAACACACTTTTAATATTTTGAGTGTCGCATATTTATATAGAAACACTAGTGGCCCGGTGCATGAAATTCGTGTATGGGGGTGGGGGGTGAGGTCCCTCAGCCTGGCCTGCACCCTCTCCAATCTGGGACCCCTCGAGGGATGTCCGACTGCCAGTTTAGGCCCAATCCCTCTTGCAATCCAGGACTTCTGGCTCCTAACCGCTCACCTGCCTGCCTGATTGCCTAACCATTCTGTCCCCCTTCTCCCCCCCAAGCCTGCTAACCCCCAATGGCACTCCCTGCTAGCCTGCTGGCCTGCTCACCTCCAACTGTCCCCCCTGCCTGCCTGATCACCCCAATGGCCCACCCACCGGCCTGATCACCCACAACTGCAATCCCATCCTGGCCTGATCAACCACAACTGCTCTCCCCTCTTGGCCCTTAACTTCCACTACCTCAGCCCTGCTACCATGGCTTTGAGCAGAAGAATGTCCGGAAGGTCTCCCAGCCTAATTAGCATATTACCCTTTTATTAGTATAGATTAGACAACACAGAAAAGGCCAGTGACTCATTTGATATACTAGAGAATGACAACTCTTATTACTGTTTCTTTTTTTTTTTTTAATATATTTTTATTGATTTTTTTACAGAGAGGAAGGAAGAGGGACAGAGAGCTAGAAACATTGATGTGGGAGAATCATCCACCAGCTGCCTCCTGCACACCCTTCACCGGGGATGTGCCCGCAACCAATGTACATGCCCTTGACCGGAATCGAACCCAGGACCTTTCAGTCCGCAGGCCGACGCTCTATCCACTGAGCCAAACTGGTCTTGGCTTATTACTGTGTTTCCTTTTTTTAAAAAAGTATATTTTATTGATTTTGTACAGAGAGGAAGGGAGAGAGATAAAGAGCTAGAAACATCGATGAGAGAGAGTCATCGATCAGCTGCTTCTTGCACACTCCCTACTGGGGATATGCCTGCAACCAAGGTACATGCCCTTGACCAGAATCAAACCCGGGTCCCTTCAGTTCGCAGGCCGACACTCTATCCACTGAGCCAAACTGGTCTTGGCTTATTACTGTGTTTCTTATGTGAAATCCAAAAACATTACATCCAAAGACCTATCGGCTATAAAATAATTTCCCCAAATAAAACCAAAGAAATATCTACAATCCAGATGCCTACATTTTAAGAATGGCATTGGAGACTGAAGATCTTCACCAGAATCTCCACATCTTTTGTGTACAGTAGAGAAATTGCTCCAGCTCTAAGGAATATTTAACAATCAGCTTAACACCAAAATAAAATGCCACTAAAAGTTTGGGCCCCATAGGGTTGCTTAGTTTTCACTAGATAAAGGACATTGAAGAATCTTTAATTATACAAAGTTTATTGTAAAAAGGAAGATCAGTTATTTTTCTATCTTTGCAGAAGATGAAGGAAGAGGAAGTAGGTTTTAATTGAGAAAGTACATTTGGTAATACTTAAGAATGACATCTTGATCTATGAGTAATTATATATTGAGATTTGGTACCAAAGGATGTTGTACATGTGCTGCATCAAGAAATATCCAAAAAAATAAGTACCTGTCTTGAATAGTTAACTCTATAACCACCCAGATGCTGCCTGTTAAGAGAATACTACAAGCTATATTCCTAAATATTATTTTTAAATAATGCCCTGTAAATGGAATTTCCTCATGCAGTGGCTTATTTTTAATCTTGAACCCCAAAAGATTTTGTAAAAGAGCCTCCCACTCCCTCAGAGCCACTGGAAACAACCTCACTTGGCAGATCATGTGGGGTTAAGGAGGAAATAACCATGGTCATGGAGCAATTTCAAATCAGTTCAGAAGGCAGTTGCCTACTTCTCTATATAGCTATACATTTAAATACCTGAAAAATTACGCTCTCTCTGTGTGTGTGTGTGTGTGTGTGTGTGTTTAATCCTTTTTTTTTTTTTTTCATAATACACAACTATGGCGTTACCTGCCAAG